ATGGACGATTTTGCGCGATTCGGTTGTAATAAACTTTCCATTGACTAAAAAGGCCCCAGTTTCGTGAGTTTCAATGGTCCTGCGGGTGTTTTTTAAAAAGTACAAGTCCTAGTAGATTGAGTTCGCTGTCGAGTGCCGATTCGAAGTTCGATATCATCAAACGGGACGACGAAAAAATGGCGGATCGAATTTTCCCCAAATCGTCTTTGGTTCCACTGACTATCAAGTTGTGAAAAGACATGCTTTAAATGTTTACGTGGTCGAACTTATTCCAGTGTCCAGTTTCGGGGAGTCCAGCCGATTGAGCAGTTTGAGCGGTGAGCAATTTTCTATGTAGCGGGAAAATGTGCGCGTCTTTTTCCACTGCTAATGGCCGCTATTGAAATATATATTTCGCCGAATTTGCCGGAAACCAAGCAACTTTCAACATTTTCTCAAATATTGATTTATTTGATTTTATTGGTTCTTTAGTTCTAAGAGCATTCCCTGTTAAACACTAAAAATTGCTTACTGAGAGGGGGAACAATCATGGCTCCCATCGTCTTGATGTCATTAATTTATTCTAACATACCCTCAAATTTTTTGAAATATTTTTGATTAATTTGACGGTTAGACTTTTTTCCAAATTAATTTAGGAATATTATTTAATTACTAAGCAAATCGTATGGTTGCATAGGCAATCTAGCGATATATACTTCGACGCGCATCTAGTCTCGACGCCCATCACGTCTGGACGCGCATCTATTCTCGACGCCTAGTTATTAGCGGCTTTCCGGTTCCTGTCTTAACCCTTCTTATCGCGTTCGGTTAAACGGGCAACTTACGGAGACGGCGCGACTCTCGGACTTCAACGATGGACGATTTTGCGCGATTCGGTTGTAATAAACTTTCCATTGACTAAAAGTTCCCCAATTTAGTGAGTTTCGATGGTACTGCGAGTATTTTTTAAACAGTGCAAGTCCAAGTAGATCGAGTTCGCTGTCTAGTGCCGATTCGAAGTTCAATATTATCAAACGGGACGCCGAAAAAATGGCGGATCGAATTTTCCCCAAATCGTCTTTGGTTCCACTGACTATCAAGTTGTGAAAAGACTTGCTTTAAATGTTTACGTGGTCGAACTTATTCCAGTGTCCAGTTTCGGGGAGTCCAGCCGATTGAGCAGTTTGAGCGGTGAGCAATTTTCTATGTAGCGGGAAAATGTGCGCGTCTATTTCCACTGCTAATGGCCGCTATTGAAATATATATTTCGCCGAATTTGCCGGAAACCAAGCAACTTTCAACATTTTCTCAAATATTGATTTATTTGATTTTATTGGTTCTTTAGTTCTAAGAGCATTCCCT